GGGACAGTTCATCTCTGCTTAACTCAGGGCCATTTAGAGCAGCTTGAGCCTGGGGCTGGAGTCACCTGAAGGCTCCTCACTCACGAATCTGGTGGTAAATGCTGGTTGTTGGCTGAGACCTTGGCTGGGGCTGTTGGAGGGAACACTGCCACCTGACCTTTCCTTGAGGCTTGGGCTTCCTTACAGCATGGCGGTGAAGTTACCAAGGGGTGAGTATGGGGGAAAAAGAGGGGAGGGAGAGAGGAACACCAGACAGAAACTGTATCTTTTAATGATCCAGCAGCCTTGGAAGTCACATAGCACGTAGCACCACGTCTGCCATATTCTATCGGTTAATTAGAGCCATCAAAAGCCCCTGTCCATATTCAAGAGGAGGGAGTACAGACCCATGTCTCAGAGTCAAGAGTGGTAAAATTCTGAAGAGTATAGGGGACCAAAAATATTGCTATGGACATTTTTGGAAAAACAGTCCACCTTACTCTATAACTGAATCTGTACCCTTGCCCAAACCTCTCATATGACCTTTATATAAGGCAATCCTAGTCTCCTTTGGTCTCTGATGATTGGACCATAGGTCAACCCCTGACATGGGAACTGAGCTAATTGGATTTTGTCCTGATCGAGAATTTAGACAAAGGAACCAAGAGAATGAAGCATCTGTACTTCTGGAGCCAGCACTGTTTATGGGCTCTGGGACTGCAATAGGCACTTTTGGTCCATGTGCAGAAAGAAGCAGATATCCAAGAGTAAGTAGAGAAAGAAAGGAAGAAAAAGGGAAACAGGTACACTGCATGTGTTCCTGATGGTTTTACAGCTTCCTAGATTTTGCAATCTCTAGTTCTATCTATGAGACACTCTCAAATCATAAAAGCAATGCCCCATCTTCTTCAGCAAGATTGTGTGGATTTCTGCAGTCCAGGTAGATTACAGGGCAGGAGAAGATAGTTCTCCAAGTAGACTGGTTTGCACTATGATGTCCCTGAATCTGTTTTCTGTGGTTCCTGGCCTTTGACTTTATGCTCCTTATCAAGGGTAGCCCCACCCACCCCACCCATTATTCTTCAACTGATATTGCAGGTCAAGCAAATATCTCATGGGAATAGGTCAGGGTAAATAAATGAGCATTTAGACTGAATTAGCTAGATTTTCAGGTTTTATTTAGACAAAGGCAAAAGCAGGAGATGTTTAATGAACACATTTTATGAAGAACAGTACAGCAAAATATTCTGTTGTGGTTTCTGTTGGGCTTGGACCCTTTTTATTGGCCTGCATGTGCTTTGATTCCAGAAGTGTGAACTGTGGACTTTCTTCATAGGACAGCCCTTGAGCTACCAGCACTGCTTTGCCCATGCAACAAGCAGATGTTCAGCAGTACCTGGAAGCTTATGTCTACCTGGCACAGCCTGTAGCCAATGACTTACAGGTCTGGGTATATGATAGCCTCATTCTCTTATCTCCAGGTGGGGCAAATCCTGTGGTATAAATTAAGCTCCAGGATGCCTTATAAGACAGGTCTGAGGCTGGGACTTTGCCTGAAACTGTAATCTTTCTTGGTTCCTTCTTCCCTGTTCTGGTTTCTTCATTCTTTTACCAGTTTTCCTCTGAAAGCTCTTCCTTAATCAATCATGTGCATGTAAATTCTTGTCTCAGGCTCTGCTTCTATAGAATCCAACCTAAGACACAAAATAAAATGTAAAAGAGGAGTCTTTAAAACAATTAAACTTGTGTTCAAAAGTCTCTGCTTATAGCATTGATTTATTATATGGCCATGGAGCCAGTTCACTTTTCTGTTGTCTCCCTATCAAAAAAAAAAAAAAAAAAAAATGGAGGCAGTAATTACTACCTTTAGGCCTCCTGTAAGAGACAACGGTTTCAGCTCTATGCATCTATAACTATATCCTAACAGGGCTTGAAAGATATAAATCAGCACTAATCAATGGGACTTTCTGTGATGCAGTGTTCTTTGCACTATCCAACATAGTAGCCACCAATCATGTGTGACTATTAAACACTTTAAATGTGGCTAGTGTGACCAAGGAACTGAATGTTTAGTTATTATTATTTTAAATTTTAATGTAAATATCCACATGTAGCTAAATTGGACAGCCCAAGATAGATTAGATAATAGTATTATAAAGTTGATTTCCTGATTTTTGATAAATACACTATGGTTATGTAAGGCTTGGCTTTGTGAATATACACAGAAATATTTAGGAGTAAAGAGGAATCATGTCTGTGGCTTAAATGATTTGGGGGAATAATATATATATATATAAACAGTTGTGGTAAAATGTTACCATTTAGAGAATTTGGATGAAATGTCTATGGGAATTTTTTTGTAGAAAGCAAATTGGTAACAAAAGGTGAATTCTTAATTGTCATAATAATAAACTGGAAGATAGTATTTAAAATTGATTACTTAAGAGGTAGCCATATACGAATATTATTTTGAAATATGGAGAAAAGTGCTAGAAGAAAACAAATTAAATGATCTGAAATATCATTTCAGTGCCCATAAATTCTTCCCATTCCATTCTTTGTGCCCCTTTGCAATATAACTTTGAAGCTGTGCTCATCTGTTTCTTCCTTTTGCAACTAGGGTTAGTCATGTGATCTGCTTTGGCTAGTGGAATAGTAGCAAATGTGACACAAAGCCATGAATTGAAAAATACTTGTACTTTGGGACTTGCCTTTCTTGATGTTCTTGGGCTCCTGGGACCTCTGCAACTAACCCTGTGGGAACAAGCCTTGCCTAACCTGTTGGAGGATGAGAGACCATGTGAAGAGAGGCCTCATCATGTCAGTGATCCTGACTCTCCTGGCTAAAGTCCCATATAAGATAGTGAGGCCATCTAATTTGTCTGGATACCAGCTAACCTCACACACATAAGCAAGCCCAGCCAAGCCCAGCAGAAGAACTGTCCAGCTGAGCCCAGCACCCCGCAGCACCATGGGCTAACTAAGTTGTTGGAGTTTTAAGCTACCATGTTTTAGGGTGATTTGTTTCTTAGGAAGAGCTATAAAAGTGCTCATCTCTAGGGAGAAGGATAAGATTATCATTGGAAATATAATTTTGGGGAACATGGGTTTTGAGTTATACCCTACCTTCCATTTTTATCTTTTTTTTTTTTTTGATACCTTCCATTTTTTAGCCACATAGCCCTGAGGAATTTCATTAATCTCTGTGCCTTGATTGTCACATCTTAAAGATGGAGATAGTAACACAACCTTCTATATGTATTATAAAATTAACTTTAAAAATGCAAATAAAATACCCAGCATAGTACTTGGGATATAAGATATGTTCACAAATTGCTAGAGATTGTGGGGTGGGGATCAAGGCAGAATAATAGCATGGGTTGGCAATAAGAGATGGAGGATGGTGCTGTCAAGTGCACAGTATTTCGAAGCACAAAAGGAGAGGTTGAGTCTTCTCCCTACTATCTTCTTGCTGGTGAATTTAGGCAAGTTATTTATCTTTTCTAGACCTTGGCTACCTTGAAAAAAATTCTGCTGATGGATTACATTTCCTCAGTGTATTTCTTCAATTCCCATTGGCTATAATTACATTTGTTTTAATTCTATTGTTTATAAATTGTCCATTACTTTTCCCAGAAGTTTATGGAGACAAGAGCTATAACTTTCTAGGGTGTAAGATTTAGGTTAAGAGCCAGGCAAGTTCAGACACAATCACAGTTACACAAGTCAATGTTGTTAGACAAAGCTAACAAGACTTGGGGAGGGAGAAGGGCCTCTAGCAGGGCCTTAAAACACCTACCTTTGAGTGTCTGAGTCTGGGACCTGATTTAATATCTATGGACCCTTAGTTCTCACCCTACATTGAACCAGGCATGATTAATCCCTTTGAAAGGCACCATTTTGTGTAGAAATCAACCCACCATGAACTTTAAGAGATGTACTTCCTCCCTGGACCCCTCTCATGAGTAGCTTTGTCTAACAACATTGACTTGTGTAACTGTGATTGTGTCAGTTTAGACAGCTGAATTGATATGTAATATATCTTGATTTAAAATGTTGGTGACGGGCCAGGCACGGTGGCTCAAGCCTATAATCCTAGCACTCTGGGAGGCTGAGGCGGGTAGATTGCTCAAGGTCCGGAGTTCAAAACCAGCCTGAGCAAGAGCGAGACCCCGTCTCTACTATAAATAGAAAGAAATTAATTTGCCAACTAACATATAGAAAAAATTAGCCGGGCATGGTAGCACATGCCTGTAATCCCAGCTACTGGGAGGCTGAGGCAGCAGGATCACTTGAGCCAGGAGTTTGAGGTTGCTGTGAGCTAGGCTGACGCCATGGCACTCACTCTAGCCTGGGAAACAAAGCGAGACTCTGTTTCTAAATAAATAAATAAATAAAATGTTGGGGACAAATTTATAAAACAAACAGTGGCAAGAATAATTAAAATTCACTATCAGGCCTGATATGGTCTGTGTGTTTCAGGCTGCCCATTTACAGTATCTACATTGGACTATGTGCCTTGGGAAAGGCCTAGAAAATCAGATAGTCTGTGGGTGACAGCCAGGCCTGGGAATGCTCCAGGCAGAAGGGTAAAGGGCAGAAACAGCCTGGGCTCCTGTTAAGTCTTCATCCAGGGCCAAGGAGGAGCCACAAGGAAGTAGAGAGAGGCCCTTTGGTTAGAGATTTCTAGAGCCCTTGCAAAGAAGAAATAGCCTTCTGTGCCACGCAGGGTCAGGCTGAGAATGATAGGTAAGAAAGGAGCAAAATGTGAAACGACTGTGAGGCCAGGGGACATTTGTCAAACTGTTTTCAGCTATGCCATGGCTGTCTGCATTGTCCCAGGGGCAGCCAGGAGAGGAGCCAGGGCGTGGTCTCAGCAAAGAAGTGATTTCACCGTTAGTCACGGGCGCTGTCGGTATTTACCGCTCAGAGACAGAGGCATTGTATGTGTCTGTGTGGACACACATTTCCTGTAACTCTGCGAGTGGCTGTCAGGTTTGAGGTTTATACAAAGCTGTGGTCATGTTCTCGTCACACCTTGGGTGATTTAGAAAGACTGCAAACAATGGAACAGAAAGCCTATTATTTTCTTGGTAAGTTGGTGATGACCTTTGAAGGCAAGCCATGGATTCATATTTACATTGTATATAAGTACAGCTGGTTCTGACTGTCTCACGTTTTCAGGTCCATCCTAATCAGTCAGCGACACACCTGTGGAATGCCAGTCTGTGCTAGGAACGGGAAGGTGATAACCCACACCAGCCCTACCCTCGAGGGCTTGATGGTCTAGCGAAGGAAGGAAGAAATACATAGTCCTGGAAGAAGCAAGGTGGTGTCCAATGCTGACAGGGCGTGGTAAGTGAGAAAAGAGTGGGAGAATGGAAGGAGCCTGAAGCCTGGTAGTGCGGGCAGAGGGAGGGCCAGATGGAGCTTCCTGTAGGGTCCAGTGGGACCCACTTCCTCTCCCGTGCAGCCATGATGCTTGAGGATATGGCAAATATCATCGTTCTTGATGGTCTCATATACAGATTGTGACTTCAGGCCCTTTTAGAAAATAAAAAGAAATAAAGGCATTTTAAGCAGGTAGTTGGGATATTTTGTTGCATTGGGAGCCTATTGTATCAGAGTAACTTCAGGTGTGGTGGGGTCGGGAGGCTGTGTTGACGGGGGAACCATTGATGTCCATCAAAGGAGTTACCTCCTGGATTGGAAACTTAGAAATGTCCTTTCCCCTGAAAATTTCTCCTCAAAGAAATCAGCAAAGAACCCAGAAGTCTCTGCCTAGCAGGTGTGAGTAAAAACCCTTCTAAGGTTCTGTTCGTGATTTACACTAAGGTGAAAAACGTGTTCTCTACCCACGGTGAGAAGTATTTCAACCTTTTTCATGGTTATATTTCCAAGTACTTGAGACTGTGCTCTCCATTTGGCAGCGCGATAAGTTGAGAAGGGAGAAAGATGCCAACTTTGGACAAAATATGATTGTGTATTTTCAGTTACGATCCAAAGTCGCAATTTGGACCATGAAGCTGGTTCTACTTCTTTGCCAAGTTGGGCAAGAAATCTTGGCTGAAAGATGTTTTTTAAAGATGTGGAGTGTTGCAGTGGATGTCAAGACATTTGTATTTGGGCTTCTTTGGTGCCACTGTTTGAAAAAACAAAGGCATCCTGGCTTTGCCATTTCTTTCCATTTTAATGCAGAATGAATGATCCCTGATCCCTCCTACAGAATGATGTATGACTAACTCACAACTTCATTTAGAAATGTTTAGAATCCTCTTTTTAAGTTGGCCTGTCTAAAATAATTATTCTTTAACAATACTACTTCTATTGTTATTATTGCTGCTGCGTTACTACATCTTTGGCCGTGATTATTGGAGCAACATCTTTGTTTATTATAAATGAGATGCTATTCTCACTTGCTGACTGGTATCTTTTCCAGATAAACCAAAATTGTCCCAGAGAAGTTAAAAGTGAAAATAATTCATGTCATACTGCTGAGGAAACTGAATACCCAGTGGTCAAGAAAGAACTATGTCAAAGCTTCTAGGAAACTATTAATTGACAGTGTTGTTTCAGAATCACTGAAATGGGTGCTTCTTTCTGCTTTTTACCCCAGGATGGGCTTTAGATATCAATATTCTGATTTATATTAACCCTTTTCAGATTCACCTCAAGTTGCAAATTAACATTTTAATTTATATTAATCCTTTTTAGACCTATCTGAAGTTATATACATAATTATATGATTTTGATGTTACAATTATGTTTTGATGGGTGATAGTGCTTTCCTAAGTCACAGATTTTGAGACAAATATGAGATAATTTTAGCACCAATGTTTTCTACACCGGCTACTTTAACACCTTTCTATGATCAGGCTCTTTTGATAGAGAAAAATACTAAAATTAAAAAAAAGAAAAATGACTAGGACACACACACAGGCTGGGCTAGTTAAGAGCACGTCAGCCAAGAAGCCACGTCCAATAGACTGCAGGTGGCACACGAGTGGGAAGGACATGGCCAGAATGTGAAGCAGCCAACGCCACCCTTGGCTGGGAACTGCAGACCAGTGCAGTAATGTGATTATGGTAATGATTCAACAAGTCATCGTCTGCTGCCTTTGTTCACCGTAATTAACTTTTTGCAATTGTGCAGCCTGTGTCTCTGGGCTCATCAGCTGGCCTGGCTTTTGTGTTCCCAGTCTGTCTTTTCTCCCCAGGCCCAGGAGCCCCTAAATGCATTGCTAAATGAATTCATTGCTGGAACAAAGATTTGGTGGTGGAATAGAGATGGCTATCTTTTGTTGTCAGACATTCAATCCCATATAGCAATCCAATTACTTAAGCTGTTTCTATCAGTCTTATTAGGGCTGGCCATTGAGGCCGGCTAGAATGCCGATCGCTGTGTCTTGGAAGAATGTGGTGGAACAGATTAGCGCTTTAATGAGAGGCTTTCCGAAGGCCAGATCTTTTCCATTGTATACATACATATCGAGATCTAGGAATCATTTTTAGGCGAGGGCGCGGAGTCACTGTTACAAAGACTGATCAAAGGATGGCTGGAAATCTGTACAATTGCTTGAAGAAATTTTATGGGTTATAAAATATTGGCACGGGTTCTGTCTGTTATGGGCTATCTGATGAAAATCTCTGGTAGGCTGGGAAAAGGAAATTGCTTATTGGCATTTATTCTGTGGGATGGATATCTTTGGAGTTTGCATTTGAACTCTTTCTTCACTGTGTTACAGGTCAAATTCTGTACTTAGCACTAACATTCCAGGAATGCGGGCTACACTAAATCAACACAAGCCTTGCTCCTACTCTCCTACCCAGAAAAACATATCGTGAGACAGGGTGAATGGACCATTACTAAGAAAAGATAGCAGGGGTGGAGTAAGCAGGGGTGGAGTAAGATTGCAGTGCTTAATGTGTAGAAGTTGAAACCTGAAGTTAAAATGAGTGAAGTCAGAGGAACAACTTAGGACACTCTTGCTATGACTATAGAGAAAAAGATTGTAATTGGTTTTAATGTTTAAAGAAATAATGTCCAGTTTTTCCATGTCATGCCTATTGCTCTGAAAATGTTTTTGAAATATCAGATGCAAAGAAGTTTTATTGTAAAGGAAACAAATCTACTCATACTTGGAAGATTTTAAGCAAAAAAAAATTTTTTTTCATAAAATATCATATTATAGATATTTTTCAACACACACAAAAGTACTCTTCACACAGATTTAATAATTAATCATAGTTAACTTGTAGCTTAACCTTCTAACCTTTTTAGGCAAATCTCTGACTTCGTATAATTTTATCCATTGCTATCACACTTTAACAAAATAAGAACGCTTTTAAAAAACATAAACATAAGCTGCAACATTTCATATCTTAAAAATATAAACAATAATCCCTTAACATCCACCAATATTCACTTAGTGAAATTTCTCATAAGCAAAAGAAGTAAAAGTGTTTGGCCTAGTTTTTTGTATATATATATATTTTTATGGGGTATTTTAGATAATTTTAAATCATAAATGCCCTCTTCCAAGTAGGTTGTTGCTCATCTCCTACTATATAGACTTATTCCACATTCTATAAAGATACTAAAAATTAGAATAAAGGTATATTTATATGAAAAATATAAAAAATAAAATTCATCTTTAGTAAAAAAAAAAAGACTTTCATGTGTGTAGATGTTTTGGTTTTTATGTCAGCCCCTGTGAGAGTTCTGGGCACATTGGAGATAAAGAAACAACATAATAGGTAATTGAGCTTAATTCTTTTGACCTCAGCATAGTGTTCTTTCTCCTTTACCTGGATTTTTCACTCGTTCTTAATATAATGATCTCTATCAAAAAAGAAAATTCTGTGGGCTGTGGAATTAGGTCTGAGATTCAAATTTGGCAGGATTTGGTGATAGATTCAAATAGTTGCTTGAAATCTAGAGAGTAGGTATCTTAAATATGTGTAACACTTTTCCTAAAAGGTGGGAAGAAAATGGGGAGGAGAAGGTTCCAGCTAACTCATAAACTAAGCTAGTTTCCTACTTTCTGAATCTGTGTGGACTAAATGCTGAAATAAAATAGTAACTGAGATGAAAAATAGTGGAAATGATCTCATCCAAGTCACAGGTATGGTGTGTGTGTGTGTGTGTGTCTGTGTGTATGTGTGCCTGTGTATATATGTGTGTGGATATAGGTGTGTATATACCTGTATTTGTGAGTGTGTGTCTGTGTACAAAGATATAGTCTCCCTTGGATTGCCCCAATACCCTGCTCATTTCTTTATAAGATAAAACCATAAGAACTAACAAATGCAGAATTCTGCTTTTCAATGAGAAATGCAAAGCCACTGGTGCCTGCTTTCCTTTGTCAAAAAAGAAAAAAAAAAAAAAAGAGTTGGAAAGGTCGTCCGAGATAGGAATAAATGGAGGCAGAGGCAAATCAATGTTTAACTTGGAAATATTTTTCAGTTAATCATCTCTGACCGCTCACACTAAGAGGGCACTCCTAGAGTGTTGGCAAACTTGAACTGGAAGTCGCTAAGCTTCTATTAAAACAGCCAAATGTCAGAATCAGTATAATCAGAAAGCCAGATCCACTGCAGGTTGAATCTAAAATGGGGAGAAAACCCTCTTCTGCAAATATATATCTAGGCATATTTTGACTTGTAGACCTTTGCTTCCAAGTTTAAGGATTATGAAACCACAGGATTTTCCTTGTTTTAGGATTATCATAAACACTTGGGAATTATACCTGGTAGTAAATTTGTTGGAAGGTGTGGGAAATTGTCTTGGAGTCTGTATTATGGCTTTTCTTTTCCTGTTCTCATTTCTGGTATGCATAGCTTTATGAAATTCTACATAACATGACTTCTTAGCTTGTGGCTTTTTTGATGTTTTTTTTTTTTTTTGGTTGTTTTATTATAAGGAGCCAATCTTTAAGAAAGTTATGAAACCCTTAAGGGACCAGTGGGGCCAATATTTGCTCTAATGGGCAAAGAGATTTTTTTTAGTCTCGTCTCTATTTTAGTGTGTTTTTTAGATGGTCAGTGATGAGGAAATACTATGATTTTGACAGGCTTTGTCTATGCTTCTGTATGGGTGAAATAATTATCTGTCAAACAAAAGAAGTAACTCTTTTCGCCTTTGAATGTAATGTACCCATTACATTCGTGTAAAGCAGAGTTTGTAAAGAGATTCTTAGTCAAAGTGTCACCCTTGACTTGAGGCCATTGTGCTTGTGAACTGCTGAACATATGGTGTTCTTGCTATTCTGCGACCCGCTGCTCCAAGAGTTTCCTATGTGACGGGCATTGCTTTACAAGCAGAACATAACGCAACTGGTGCCAAAACGATGAAT